CTTCCGAGAATTACCTTATCATAGCAGCTGGTCAGCTCTTAAATCATTATCCTGACACTTATCTTGCCATGGTTGATAAGTGAATCTCTGGAGCGATTAAACTAAATAAATTAAATTAAATAAGTCCGACGGTTGTTAAGTGAATCGGGATTCCCCGTTGACTCAGCTTGTCAGAAGGTCGCAAAAGGGGGTCACGTGACCCCAGGGACACTGCGACTGTCATAATTATGAGCCAGTTGCCAAGCCTCCAAATGTAAATCCGCATGATCCTGGGGATGCTACAACAGTCATAAGTGTGAAAAATGCTCATAAGTCACTGTTAGGGCCGTTGTAACTTCAAACGATCACTAAATGAATTGTTGTAAGTCGAGGACTAGCTATACACCCTGGCTTATGACCATAATTGGGGCAAGAATTTCCCCTGCTAAACAAGGCAGTTCTTAATGGAGCCACACCCGATATTACGCCCTCTTTTACCAAAATTGTTAAGCGGATCGCTGAAGTTGTCAAGTGAATCATGTGGTCATTAACTGAGACTGGCTTCTTCCATTGACGTTTCTTGTTAGAAGCCAGCTGTGGAAAATTGCAAATGATGATCATGTGATTCCCCTAGATGCTGCAACCATTATTATATTTAATAGAATAGAAAATATACAATAAATTGTAAAATAATATAAAATATATTTAATATTGTTATAAGTTATAAATTGTGAAGCCCAATTCCATTTACAACTGTGTTGCTGACTTAACAACTGCAGCAATTCACTTAACAACAGCGGCAAGGAAGGTCGTTAAATGAAGTAAAGCTCCCTTAACAGCCATCTCGCTTAGCAACGGGCTCTGTCCTGGTCAGGATCACTTGTATCTTCTTGGATTTTGGAGAACGTTTCCAATACATTAGAAGTTCTGCCATGAACTTAATGAGGAAATCTCTCTGAAGTGATGACCCAAGAGATCACAAGTTGTCTAGTTGCATTCTGTGTTTTTTTTTTTTTTTTACTCCAAGGTTAAGGGATGTGGTAGCTCAGTGGCTAAGACGCTGAGCGTGTCGATCAGAAAAGGTCAGCAGTTCAGCGGTTCGAATCCCTAGCGTCGCGTAACGGAGTGAGTTCCCATTCCTTGTCCCAGCTTCTGCCAACCTTAGCAGTTCGAAAGCATGTAAAAATATGCAAGTAGAAAAATAGGCACCACTTCGTTGGGAAGGGAACCGCGTTCTGTGCACCTTTGGTGTTTAGTCATGCCGGCCACATGACCACGGAGACGTCTTCGGACAGCGCTGGCTCTTTTTTGGCTTTGTAACGGAGATGAGCACCACCCTCTAGAGTCAGGAACGACTAGCACATAGGTGTGAGCGGAACCTTTACCTATGCCCCTCCGTTTACACATGCACGCACCAACCACGCCCTCTGGAGAGAGAGCGTGTGAGTCTCTAACCTTGGCAGGAGGGAGAATTAAGACGTTAAGGCTAATATGCAAAGCCGTTTGGCAAGATGGAGGATTTACTGCCTTCCATCCATCACGGAAATTGGGAGGACAGGAAAGGCAAGGAGAAGACTCAAAAAGAAGGAGAAGGGGAGGGGGCCAGGTGCACCAGAGGAGAGACCCTAACCCCAGCCACCTCGGCCTCCTCCTCCACCCATGATTGGTGACTCTCCTGGGAAACGTGAAGAGTTCAAAGCAGAGATGAACGAGGTGGAAATATTTTCCAGGTGCTTCCAGGGGATGCAAAAATTAGGCCTCTGTTGGCTCAAGAAGCAGGGGACATCCTGAGGCGATAGTCCTCTACGTACGACCACAATTGAGTTCCAAATTTGTCTCGCTAAGCAAGACAGTGGCTGAGTTTTGCCCCACCCTTCTTCGTCTTCTTTTTTTTTAAATAAAGTTTTTATTGAATGAACACACACAAAAAAGAAAAAGGCATTTAAAAACAATGGATGTAGTGCAATCATCCTGAAACACCTAGTTGTCCTACATCGCTAATTCATATAAAGAATAGGACATATTTACATTTTATATACATCATATATAATATATACATAAACATTAATCATTTTTATATGTTTTGATCCTTCCTAGTTTCCAACCAATGATAAAAATTAACGATCCATCCACTCATTCAACCATTTGGTCAGCTGCCCCAGAACCACATGCCATTACTGGTTCTGTTCATCAATAAACAGAATCCTTCTGTCCAATTAGCCTCCATTTATTTCCAGTGGTTTCCTCCCAGTTTGGAACTGGACTGGATTTTTCTTCCAACAATAGATATATAGATGATAGTTGATAGGTGATAGATGGGTGGGTGGATGGATAGATGGATGGATGGGTGGGTTGGAATGGGTGGACGGATAGATTGATTGGTTGGTTAGTTGGTTGGTTGGTTGGTTGGTTGGTTGGTTGGTTGGTTGGTTGGTTGGTTGGTTGGTTGATAGATAGGGATGGATGATAGATAGATAGATAGATAGATAGATAGATAGATAGATAGATAGATAGATAGATAGATGAGAGGATAGATAGATGATAGACAGAAAGACAGATGAGAGAGAAGAAAGAAAGAAAGAAAGAAAGAAAGAAAGAAAGAAAGAAAGGAAGGAAGGAAGGAAGGAAGGAAGGCAAATGAGAGAGTAGATCAAGAGTCTTCAAACTTGGCAAGTTTAAGACTTGTGAACTTCAACTCCCAGAATTCCTGAGCTAATATGACTGGAGGAGGAATCCTGGAAGTTGAAGTCCACAAGTCTTAAAGCTGTCAAGTTTGAAGACCTCTGGAGTAGATAGATAGATGGATAGATGGATGGAGAGAGAGAAAGAGAGAGAGAAACAGAGAGAGAGGGGTGGGGGGTGGGGGAGATATTTAGTTTGACTATCTGCGTTTGACTCGGCTCATTCCTGATTGGAAAGGAAGTGGGGTTGCTTGACTGCAAGACCCCAAATGATTTTCTGAAGAATATATAAGGAGAAGGAGGATTTGTTCAGGGTAAAATCACCTGGGCCTTTTCTAAATGAATTCCAGGTGTGAATAGCTAGACAAGAGTTGTCAAAAAGAAAGACTTCCTGGAGGCAGCTTCATTTCCTGTGGGTGCCTCCCTCAATGTTTTCTAGGTGATATTCAGCCCACAAGCCTGAGATGTACTAATGGTCTCTGAATCATCATGTCACCCTATTAAAATCACATTGTTAAAAGCTGCTGGCCAAATCCTTCCTTCCTTTCTTCCTTCCTTCCTTCTTTTTTTCCTTTTCTCCTTCCTTCCTTCCTTCCTTCCTTCCTTCCTTCCTTCTTTCCTTCCTTCTTTCCTTCTCCCCTTCCTTCTTTTCTTCCTTCCTTCCTTCATTCATTCCACCTTTCTTTCCTTCTTTCCTTCTCTCCTTCCTTCCTTCATTCCATCTTTCCTTCTCTCCTTCCTTCCTTCATTCCATCTTTCTTTCTTTCCTTCCTTCCTTCCTTCCTTCCTTCCTTCCTTCCTTCCTTCCTTCCTTCCTTCCTTCC